GGCCGTCAACTGATCTTCTAGTGTCAGCCGAGGATCCAGGAGGACACCCAGGTTGCGCACCCTCTCCGAGGGAGCCAAAGTTTCGCCCCCTATAGTCAGCGACGGAGTCAGCTGACTATGCCTGGGAGCCGGCAACCACAGCCACTCTGTCTTGGAAGGGTTGAGCCTGAGTCTGTTTCTCCCCATCCAGACCCGTACGTAATGTGCCATTTTATGCTACAAGACTGTTCTATAATCCACACAAGCCTGATATGACAACTCCAGGCAAAATACACTTGCAACCCAAAAAAATGGAATAATGTAAAAATTAGAGAGGAGGATTTTATACCATGCCGCACACACACAGCCCACCCCACCCACCCCCCGATATTTTCACAGTCACATTAAAGAATCTGGCCTTTATCAAAGGAGCTTCAGAGGCAGACTAAACTAAAAAAAGCTGTCAAGGCTTTTAAAAGTTCAGTTCCATCTTTGGAGGCTTGAAGTGAAGAAAGAGTTCTTTTCACTCTATGTGATTTCATAAGCTTACTGAATGCTTATATGTTCTGGGCTATCAGCAACAACTCTTTTCTAAAGGGCAACTGTCAAGAATGGGATGATCACTGTCCTGTACTTTGTGAATGTCATTTCCTTCTGATTTCATGGATATTTGCCAAAACAGGTAAGAACAAGGGCCAATGAAATCAACAGTAGTAAAGCAGAGTCATTTAAATCCATAAAGAAAAGGAAAAGTACACGATGGGGGAGAAACAGAAAAGGAAGAAAGATATGAGGCCAAAGAGTAGGAAGAGGTCAGCGATATTTTTGTCAGGAGGAAGAAGTAAAGCAGACAAATTCTGGCTGGAGGGCAGACCCAAATAAAAGAGCTTATTACAATCTACTCTAAAATGAGTAAAGTAGCAAAGAAGCACTCCTTTTGCACTGCATTTGTGTCTCAGTGCTGCACAGTGCAATTTCTGGTATGATTTGTGTTATTTTTTTCTCTATGAGACTCAGTCTGACCTATTTGTGAAGCAAATCATCTTCAACTGCAGAGTCTTTAAAACTAAAATGCTTAATATTTCTGTCAATAGTTCTTCTTTGGGGTCATAATATCAAGCAGGAAGCAGCATGGGAAATCATCTGTGTTCTTGAGCAAGATCCCCTGGAATCCCCTGGAAAGAAGTGGATTTAAGTCCACCTTCCTTAAACCAAAAGGCCGCAGTACAAAATGCTTTAAATAAAAGTTGTCCCCCAAACCTTTGTTTTTGGATGGTGGTTTTTATTTTGTTTATTTGTTTGTTTTGTAGCAAGGAGTCATAGGACCACCAAATTTTAGTGTGGAAATTACAATTGCAATGAGTTTCTCAACATTAGGTAGACAACCTGATTGCCTAAGTCCTAAAATAGACTAACACCTTTTTTAAAAAAAGTAATACCTCCCAAATTCCATCCTCCCCCCCCCCCCCCCCCCAAATAAAGAAAAACCTTCCCTGTGATTTTACATCAATTCTACATCATGGCCTCACATTGTTCAGATAACTGGCCCTGGTAATATGGCCACCTGCCTTCCCCTCACAATTAAATATTGACTCTAGCCTTGAAAAAAAAACCCCTTTGTGATTTAGAAGATCTTCCTCTCTGTTCTTGGAGGCTGTTACTCAGGAAATATCATTTTAAAAGAAAAGGAGAGAAAGAATAATTCTGCTGGACCACATTAGAGTTCTAGATGGGAGTGAGAGTAGATTGCAAACATACAATGTGATCCATACTAGGTGTACAAGAAGTCATCTTAAGGTTGTACAGTATTAAAAAATTGCCCATGGCTTCCTTAGAATTAGAATTAACCAAAAGAAGAAGTTGGATAGACTTAAATCTGGGACTCTCTTCTTCTAGGCCATCCTCTTCGCCATTATATTGTGAACTTTCCAGCATGTCCAGATGATAGTTCAGTGCATCTTGCAAACCAGAAAATATAATTAATTTGTTGAACCATTGCTACTACTTAACTAAGGGCAGGTAAAAATGTCAAATATCACATATAAAAATACAAAATGAAGAAAGAAGAAAACACAGCAATAACAGCATGCTTCAGTATGTTCATGTAATTAACACCCATCCTTCATGAGCTGCATTGGTTACCAATTTGCTTCCAGATGCAATTCAAGGTGCTGGTTGTTACCTACAATATAAAGCCCCACATGGCATAGGACATTTTTATTTGCCTTTTTACTGCCTTTCTCCCATAACATCTGCCCAGCTGATTCAATCCTGCAGGGTATCTTCAATTAAGTAATGCTATCTATTCCACGGGTGTCAAACTCACCGCATCACATGACGTGTCACGATGTATCGTGACTTTTTTTGCATTGCCAGAGCTGGGGTGGGTGTGGCCTCCGTATGATGCAACCGGCCCGCGGGCTGGCAGTTTGACACCCTGATCTATTGGGAACTTGGAAGGACCCCTTCTCTGTAGCAGTGGCTGCCCTCTGGGATGAGGTTCCACTCCCCAAGATCTGAATGGCCCCCACTCTGCTCTTATTTGTAAGACCCATGAAGACCACCCAGGCCTTTGAAGTGGGAGTGGAAGACCCCTCACTTCATCACACTTTCTATCTTTTACCTGTATTTTTTATATTATATTGATTTTATTGCAACTCTTTTGTTTGTTGTGAGTTGCCCGGAGTTGTTGAGAGTGTGCAATACATGATTATGACAATATGCTGAGTAAGTGACAAAGTCAGGTAGATCAGGAGATCCCTAGGAAAGTATTGTGGAGGAAAAATTGTATTCCTGCTTTAAGAACCTGGAGAAGGAGCTCAAAAAAAGGATGAATCAAGGATCCCACCTGAATGCTGAAACTGATAGAGAACTGTGAA